GTAAAATTAAAGAAATTATGTTTTTCCGACTTGTGTAGCGTTACACGCTTGACTGACTGCGAGCCAGATAACATGGGCGCAGCAATGACGCAGACCTAGGCGTAGGACCATCTATACTGTCACTTGTAAAATCCAAACTTACTGACTCTTGTAGAGATTTTACTGTATTTACATAGGTTGCTCCGGTGTATACGACTTCGTTATCAAAGCCTATGTTTACATATGAGAAATTTCACAACATTCAGTTTGACATTTGACAAAACATTGTAAAAAATTCCGTCCTTAACGAAAGGTCCTTTATTTACGAAATGATAAATCTCGACAACGAGCCAGCAAGCGTCAATTTATATTCGAAGTATTCGAGCATTGGAGAAAATGGTTTCGTTAGGAATTAAAGCGGAGGCAGAAACGTACCGTAGAGTGATCGAGTGACATCAATACACATTGTTCTTGTTGATGTACGATTAACTGCATTGCCGGAGTCAGGGTAGTATTCGAAGAACATGGCAAATACGAAACACTGTGCAAATCGGTTTTCGAACGGTTTGTTTGTTTAAAACAAAAAAAAAAACAATTCACGATACTTTTCGCTCTGGTCAACCGGCGTAACAAATGCAACCATTAACCAGAATTTATTTCACTTGTAAGCTTTTCAAAACCACATAAACTTGTATTGTTTTCAATCGTTACGGAGAAAATATTCGAATCTGTTTCAATGTTCCGCGATTTACGCGCTTCCGCTAAATATGTTACTTTTACAGACTCCAAAGATGTACAATTTCCTTTTTTTATCTTATCTGTTAAATTATACGAGAAAATATCAGAAAAGCTCTATATAGAGAAACGTACAATTTTCATTTCATTATTTTATTAAGGAATTTATTTGAAACATTGCACGTCGGAAAAGTAGAATTTACAAATCAGGAATCGGGAGTGCCTGATTCTTTCAGTTGAACGAAAACTACAGAAATAGATATCGACAAATTTCAAGCGGAAAAGTCCGATGTAACCTTATTAAATTCGTCAGATTTTCCGTGATATTTTTATCAATGAAAAACTGTCCGTCGACGTATATCTCGACCTATCGATCTTCGACGTAAATAAAAGGACGTAATCGAGAAAGGTAGGTCAGTGAGAGAAATGAAACGAGTGAAGTTTGAAAATAGAATTTTATTAGCTACAGTAGCAAAATACCTATTCACTTAAATATTTGGCTTCACACGATTACCAGGCTAAGATCGTTTATATTAATATACAATATGTAAAGTGTGCCATATTGGATATGGGCAGTGTCCGTAGTAGTACGATAAACTTACTCTTCATACGAGATTTACGAGCTAGGCACTTGTTTTTTTTGTTTTTTCTTTTTGAATAATTATAGAAGTAAAACTTACGGCGAACACAGATCAAGGTGTATGTGTGTGTGGGGATGGATGAGGGAGTGGGGCGCAAGCAATTCGCGGGAAATTCAAAAACCGGGCAGTAAAACCGCGAGTAAAAAGTGGTTCTCGACGAGAGAAAAGATGAACAAAGAAGGTAAAAAGCGCGACGTGTACAAAAGAACGAAGAACGAGTCGTGAGAAAGAGTGAGAGAAGGGACGAAGGGAAGAGAGAGGTGGAGACGGGATTAAAATAAACGAAGACAAGATATCCCGCGGTAGAATTCGAAATGGCGGAAACACGAGGGAAGAGGAGGAAAAAACGAAATTTCTCTCTATCTCGGGGTTCCCTTTATCTCGATACGGCCGTCGCGAATTCTTATCAGAAAGCGTCGCTCGTATAGAACGATTGTCGCGTTCTCTTCCAGATTTTTTCCTTCTCGTTTCTTATTCTCCAACGTTCTGCTCGGCGATGCTGGTGTAATTATCGCTGTCGTTCGAAAAGTAAGGAAACGCGAAACAACGGTAAAAAAAAGGGGTGAATGAAGAGGAGAGGGGTGTACGTGAGATAAAAAGATAGAGAGAGAGCAAGAGTAAACACGCGGGTTCGCGTTGGGGATTTACATGGATTTACGTGTTCTTTATACACACTTGGCAGCGACTTATTCGTGACCTAAGGTTACCCGGCTTCAACGTCTGCTTCTCGGGCCTTTGGAATTGTTGCCTGTCCTCAATGGTGGCCATCCAAAAGCTGAACTCGTTCGCGTAATAATGGCAGTGTCCTTTGGCGCCGTTGCACTCGATGAACGGCGTCGCGCGGAAGTCCTCCAGACAAGATCCAGTGCTGGACAGAGACTGTCCTCCGCCTTGTGAACCGGCAGCGGTATGCTGAAAACGACCACGAGAAAATTAGTCGAGCACCGTTCCCAACGTTTTCAGCTTCTTATCGGCAGGAAACGGTGAAAGTTTGAATTGAAAAGTGCATGGAAACTTGGAACACGGGCGGGATGGGGCTGAGATCGTTTCGATTAAAAGTTTCGGGTAAGAGGGTGAAGAAATACGTGTGATCGTGAGATACATCGAGGGGTGTATGAAATGTATCGGTTGAGTACGACGTTTTTGCTGAAGGATTTTGGGAAGATTGTTGGAAAATACGGAAATGTAAGAAAGGCGGAATTTTGGGAAGATGGTTGGAAGATATGGAAATGGAAAAAAGGCGGAATTTTGGGAAGATGGTTGCAAAATGTGGAAATGTAAAAAAGGCGGAATTTTGGGAAGATGGTTGGTAAATATGGAAATGTAAAAAAGGCAGAAATTTGGGAAGATGGTTGGAAGATATGGAAATGGAAAAAAGGCGGAATTTTGGGAAGATGGTTGCAAAATATGGAAATGTAAAAAAGGCAGAATTTTGGGAAGATAGTTGCAAAATATGGAAATGTAAGAACGGCTGAATTGTGGGAAGATGATTGCAAAATGTGGAAATGTGAAAAAGGCGGAATTTTGGGAAGATGGTTGGAAAATATGGAAATGTAGGAAAGGGAGAATTGAAGATATGGAAATGGAAAAAAGGCGGAATTTTGGGAAGATGGTTGCAAAATGTGGAAATGTAAGAACGGCTGAATTGTGGGAAGATGATTGCAAAATGTGGAAATGTGAAAAAAGCGGAATTTTGGGAAGATGGTTGGAAAATATGGAAATGTAGGAAAGGGAGAATGTTGGGAAGATGGTTGCAAAATATGGAAATGTAAAAAGGGCAGAATTTTGGGAAGATGGTTGCAAAATATGGAAATATGAAAGTGCAGAAAAGTTTGTTTGCAACAGACATATTTGATGGAGACGTTTTGAGAAATGATTAGGGGAAGATTAGAAATTACCCACTAACACATTTTGAGTATAATATGTAAAGGAATTTTGCACGTGCTTTGTAACTGTATTACACTTCTCGTCAAAAATATTGCAAGAAATCCCAGAAATCTAGAAATCCTATATATTTTTTTGTGCTACTTTGAGGAAGAAATTACCCTTTTTTCTCTTTCAATACCACAAACAATATATGCAAATTTCAGATTTGCGCGATTTCATTTTCAAGGTGTTGCAATTTCTTTGTCGAGCATGTGTATATTTTTCTAGTTCTTTTCTTTTTGTAGAATAAAGTGTGAAGATTACTTAGACACTGAGATGAAAAAATGAATATTCGTACCATGATAAAACTGTATCCGATCCAAAGACCGGTCCATCCATTTGGACATTCTGGAATGTTCAATGACTGGCTGTGTACGGCTAATACATTCGCTGGAACCTCGCATACCACGCATCTGTGAAAAGAAGAAAAAAATGTCGAATCTCTGAGTTTCATAAAAGTGCTTCGTTAAATTCAACAAATTTCACCGATTAATTTATTTTTCCGTAAAACGTTGTGTTTGACGCAAGTTCTACCGTAAGTTAGATTGTTAACGAGCATGCGTTAAATTAACAGTTTCATTTTGTCCATTCTGCGCTGTGCTTGACATCGTGGAAATGTTTGTAACTTCATTTAACTGAAATGTCACCCCTTCGTCGCAATTGCAACTAACTCGCGAAAAAGAAAAAGAAAAAATGTTTCGACTTTACTCACTTTAGAGTAATAACCATTTCAGCATCGAATTTAATGACAACAGCTGAACAAAAGGGTGAAACATGTGCAAGATATTGTTTATAAAACAGAACGGTAGAAATAATTGTTATTTCGATCAAAGTATAATAATTTATCAATTATTCGTGGTTAATTCAGTTGATTTTTTTAAATTTTTACTGTACATTCTAATGTTAAATATGGCAGATATCAGTTAATTTCGGACTGCATAATAATTATAAGCTTGTGAATTATGAAATTTTTGATGCTACTTAGTTTCAATGCGCATGTTTATTATGAAATCTATATTCGAGCAACGTGCTTCGTATAAAAGAAGATCCTGTATTTAACGTTGCAAATATCGTCGGCATTATTTATCGTTCTGCCTTTTTTTTCTTTTTAATATGATTGAAATTACTTAAATATTGTGATTGAAATATTTGCCATATTTTCGACATTATGCAATTAATAATTTCAAGTTTGCGTATTTATAAAAGTTCAATTGCAAATATTCGTCAGAAAATTACCAGTTATAGAAACACGAGAAATGGTTTTCTAGTTAATTGCCGATACCGACTATAAAATATCGACAAAACAGATTTTCGTTAATTAATAAGACTTTAATATATTACTAATTACGCAATTTTATCATTCCATAAAATATGTAACAAACACGGATTACGAAATATCAGAAAATCTGTAAAATATTCGTATCTAAAGAGAAACAGGACAAGTAAATTTTTATATTCGGAGAACCGTCTGAATTTTAATAAACAATGTCGATGCTCTCATTAAAACGCGTGGCTGTTTCCATTTCTTTTGTCCATTTAAAAATTGAACAATTTGCATGTAGCACGTCGAACATGAGAAACATTTCCCTAAAAGCGATATTAATAAAAAGAATAAACGAATTATTAATTCTTGAAATAACTACCGTTCAACTGTCGTAAATCACTGTACAAATTTCAAATCATTCCGAACATAATAAATCCTTCAAAAGTCACCGAGTATCCGTGCATATCAATATCAATCACCGAGTCGATCGTGAGCATTTGCTGTACAGAAAACTCTCATATCATGCGTCACTGTGAAACGGTATAGTCGGTGGAAGCGATGTAGCGATGTGGTAAAATTAGATGTCAAAATACACCCTAATTCGAGGGAGATAAGAAGCCTTGCTCAGGACAGTTCTTCCATTTAAAACATTTGTCTGTGCCTTAATCGTTCACAGTTGCAGCTTAATTTATACCAATACGGAAATTACTTAAATGAAAGATTGTAAGCAGAAATGTTTCAGAATGCTTTCATTTGTCCACTTTCGAACGGTATTGTGTAATTTGCCATTATTACAATATTTCAGCTTGATATTACGTTACAAAATATTAAGTTTTCGTGTAATATTAATGCATGAAAAGAATGGTTTATTATCGTTTATAATTTACAATCTATCAAATGCTTTCATTTGTCCACTTTCGAACGGTATTGTGTAATTTGCCATTATTACAATATTTCAGCATAATATTACGTTACAAAATATTAAGTTTTCGTGTAATATTAATGCATGAAAAGAATGGTTTATTATCGTTTATAATTTACAATCTATCATTGGACGATATCTGAAGCCAAAAATTCCTATGTCGAGCTGGCCACGAAATGCGATGGGTTAAACATTAATTCACAAATAACGCATGGCCCTGAGCAGTGGCGGGCCAAGGGTCTCTGGCACTCCCCAATGAAAACGAAACACTAAAAATTTTTCAAAAAGTCTTTTCCTAATTAAAATTCATTTTTTCATTAACGTTGTGTCGTAATCGTAACCATAACAGAAGTACTTCAAGAGCTTCGTAAAAAGAACAGAAGACTATATTTTATTCTTTAAATAAATTTTTACAATCGCCTAATTAATTCGATTGAATCTGCGTCAAAAGTATCTAAATCCTATTTAAATCCCAAGGTTACAGTGGCGCCGCTTGATGCTTTAATTTACGACCCCGCTACATCGCTTCCACCAACTATACAACGCGTCACCTCGACGAGACCAGTATCGTTTCGAACGTGGCGTATCGTGTAAGAGCTGCAAATAGAATTCAGTCAGGTTCCCCTTGGCAAGTCGAGGCAAATCGAACACGATCTCTATGATTTTCTACTGGCCATTGCAACAAGCCGATCAATCTCGACTGGCCGTTAGGTTACAGCGTAATCGTTCAAGCATCGATCGACATAGAGCAGTGACTCGTCGCATGACGAAGATCCACGCTGTAAAAGGTTCTCTATTCAAAGGAAACATAGCCATCGTGTGCTCTAGCGATTTTGTTTCCTTTTTTCTTTTCTTAATAGAAACGACCAACGTACCTGGAGATGTATTCCTCTATCGCTGTCTCTTGGACAGGGCTCATGGGAATCGGACTATTGGTCGATAACCAGTAAGAACGATCGTTGCGGCTGGCGTACTGACAGACATTGTTCACGTCGCAGAAGAGGAACGGCATCGTCGAAAACTTTCGTACGCACGATCCAGCATAACCTGTTCCGTGATTATTTATTAGATCAGCAGAATTAATGAGTAGAAGGGAAGAAAAAAGAGTTGTGGCGAGCGCAAGGATCGGGATATGACGTACATTGGTCGAGGAAAAGTTTGTCATGTAAATGCTCGCATACTGTATGAGTGTCTCGTGCATTCTATGTCTCGAGAAGATTAAATACTTTTGGCAGAATACGAAACCGAGCGAAGATTTCGTTGCAAAGAAGCAGCGATTGTGCTGAATTCTTGACACCCGTAATCTTCCTTTGCACCCACTTTACTTAGAAATTATTACGAAGAGTATTTTTGCTCGCCTGATCAAAGTGAATACGAGCAAATCTGTAGAATTGAAGATACAAATAGCAATACTTATCAATGAAAGAAATTACCATCTACAGACTTTCTGATAGATTTTAATCTGACCAGTTGCTTTAGTATTCGGCAAACTCTTGAAAATTGATGCTGTCAAGAAGAAAAGAAGAATATTTGGGAAGATATTGGATTAGAACGAGTAAAAATGAGTAATTAGTGTTTACAATATTTTCACCGTTTGCATGAACTAAGTAGAGATCTACTAGGGTTTTGATCCATAATACTTGCCTAAATCTTGCGAATGCGCTCTTTCTTCACCATCCGTGTGCAGTAAACTGTATCCTTCCCAAAGTTTAATGTGCCCTGCGTCGCAACGAGGCACCGACTGACTTTGACTATGCTTCACCAATAAAATACCAGTGAGATAATCCGATGGAGCGTCACACGGTTTTCCAGGTTCTCCGGCAGGTCCCGGTACACCTATAGGTCCTTGGAGACCTGGCAAACCGGGTGGACCAGTTAGTCCCGATAAACCTGGTGTGCCAGCTGGGCCTGGAGGTCCCATAGGTCCTTGTGCGCCTTTCAATCCGTTCAATCCCGGGAATCCTGGTGGTCCTGGAGGTCCTTTTTCTCCTGGTACTCCTCGCGGACCTTCAATTCCTGTGATAAAAAAGCAGATTTTGAAAACTCTCTCGATATTAGTACATGTTAATTAGTGCTTCATGGAAAATGTGAAATATTTCTACATTTACACTGTTCTTAACACGCATCAAACTACATTTTAATCATAGTTGCACGTACCAGGGAAACCACGATCTCCTTTCGGTCCCAGTGGTGAATCAATGCAATCGTCGCCTTTATCACCCTTTTGACCAAAACTACCAACAGGACCTATTAATCCTACTTGCCCAGGATATCCTCTATCGCCCTTCTCTCCAACAGCACCAACTAAACCTGGCGCTCCGTCCCAACCTCTATCACCTTTCTCCCCTGTTAGTCCAGCCAATCCTTTCTGTCCTATAAGTTCATGAAAAAGGGATTTGTATTCTGTTCGTACAATTATTATTGCAAATAATTTCAATTCGAGCACATGTTTCGAAGGAGCAAAGTAATTGAAAATAAGTGAAAAATTCACAACATTTGGAGGATCAGTGTTAATATCTACCTGGGAATCCTGGTTCACCCTTTTGTCCTGGAATACCAGGCAATCCTTCTGGACCCGAGTCTCCTTTGTCGCCTCTTTCACCCAGGAAACCTGGCGAACCTTTAGGTCCTGGAATTCCATCGTTACCTGGTAGACCAGGAGGACCCATAAGACCCATGTCACCCTTTTCACCGTGAGGGCCAATTGGACCATGAGGACCCTGATCTCCCTTGTGTCCTGGTAAACCAGGGAACCCTTGTTCTCCTTTCTCTCCCGGTCGACCTGGCGTTCCTTGTCGTCCGTGCTTTCCAGGCAAACATTGTAGACCCTTCTCACCCTTGATTGTTGCTCCAGGGATTCCTGGAGGTCCGTTAGGTCCCATATCACCTACAATGTTAAGATTAACACGACGTGATTAACATTGGAACGAATTGTTTTGTACAATTGTAGCATGAGAATTAAAATCTGTACCTTTAATGCCAGGATATCCGGCTGGTCCTGGATTTCCAACTGGACCTGGAGAACCTCTGTCTCCTTTTTCACCATCGTAACCGACAAGACCTTCCAAACCACGATCTCCTTTCTCTCCGTCGATACCTGGTAGTCCAGGTATACCTGGTTCACCTTTGTCACCTTTCGTCACAATTGCTGGCCCCGGTGGTCCACGATCACCTTTCTCTCCCATTAAACCAGGATTACCAGGATATCCAACAGCACCTGTTAACACACGATTATTGGTATATGATTATTGGTACATTTTGCTTGAAAATGAAAGGGATCGCTGTAATATTACCTGCAAGACCGCGGTCTCCTTTGGCACCATCAAATCCAGGATGTCCCGGAGCTCCCATTTCACCGACCAAACCGGGGAAACCGCGAGGTCCAAGTGGACCAGTATCACCTCGTTCGCCTGGTAACCCGTCAATTCCTGGTGTTCCAGGTTCACCTGGTGCTCCCGGTGGTCCCTGATAATTAAAAAAGAAAAAAGAAAAGTCAAAATTGAAGTGCCTTCAAAAATATACGGCCGGAATAACTGGAAAAAGACGTACCAAATCTCCTTTATGTCCAAGGAATCCTCGTACTCCAGCATCACCTTTCTGTCCCTGAAGTCCTGGTAAACCGTCACGACCTGGTATACCAGGTTCTCCTTTCGGACCAGGCAAACCGTCTACACCAACACAAGGCAGCCCAACTTCCCCTTTCGCGCCATCAATACCATCTCTACCAGGAGGACCAGTAGGACCACGGATTCCTGGCATTCCCGGCTCACCTTTCTGACCTTTCTCTGATACTTGACCTGCATCTCCTTTGAGACCCTAAATGAATTCAATGAAAAATTAATTCACTATATTATCGAGCAAATAATTCATTGTCAATGTAAAAAAAAAACTCACCGGCATGCCTGGTATACCTCGATCACCTTTGGGTCCATCGTATCCAATAAGACCAGGTGAACCCTCAGGACCGGGAGGTCCTTCATCTCCTTTAGGACCAGGTAATCCAGCGCGACCAGGTTTTCCTTCCATTCCAGGCATTCCCGGGAAACCATCGGATCCCTTTTCACCTCGTTCTCCCTTCAAACCGGGTACACCCTCAGCACCAGCTCTACCTTTTAAACCAGGTGGGCCTCGTCTTCCTGGGTGTCCCTTTGGCCCGTCGATACCCGGTTCACCAGTATCTCCTTTAGTACCTGGGAATCCTGGAAGACCTGGTCTACCATCCGCTCCTGGCAATCCTGGCTCACCTGAACAAGTGAAATAGAAATTTTAAGTAAATCTGTAGTTCGAGATAAACAGTACATAAGAAATGGAGTGAATTATATAGGATTTGACAATTTTCTACCTTTAATTCCATCGATACCAGGAACTCCCGCAACACCAGGTGGACCTGGAGGTCCCTTTATACCAGTATCTCCCTTTTCTCCTGGAGCGCCAGGTAAGCCACTTATTCCTGGAATTCCTTCGTCACCTTTATCTCCAGTATAGCCTGGTAAACCTGACATACCAGGAAGACCCTCTTTGCCTGGTGGTCCTGGAAGACCTCTTTCTCCTTTCTCTCCCGGAAGACCAGGTAATCCAGGACTACCCTTGACCGATATTCCAGGTTCACCCCTATCTCCTTTTGGTGCGGGAACGCCGGGGAACCCTCTGGGTCCTTGATGACCAGGCTCTCCAGGGAAACCCAATGGTCCCATATTACCTTTGTCACCACGAGGACCTGGTAATCCACGTGGTCCAACCGGTCCAGGTGCACCACTTATTCCTGGCTCACCAGGGGGCCCCTAATTTCGTCAAATTTTGATTATAAATTTGTATTTCTGTTAAGAACGTAAACATTTTGAATAGAACAACTGTAAAGGTATTACTCATGTTTTCGATTAAATCATAATGTGTGAAAATAAAAGTTTACACATTATAGTAAATATATACTTACTTCGAAACCTTGCAAACCTCTGTCACCTGGTAATCCCTCTCTTCCTGGTGGACCAGGTTCTCCTTTATCACCACGAGGCCCTCTGTCACCTTTTCTGCCAGGGCATAGTTCGAGTGGTGACGGGCACACACCTGTTTAAAATGCGGATAATTGAAAATTTGCTCAGATGTGAAATCATTCAGCGCTTAAACAGTACGAGAGATGTTAATGAGAAATATCTACCATCGTCTCCTTTCTCCCCGTATAAACCTGGTTCACCTTTCTGTCCATCCTGACCTCTATTACCTGGTTCACCGGGTTCTCCTTTCACACTTAAACCACTTTCTCCTTTTGTACCTGGTATGCCTGGTCTGCCAGGTATACCGTCGTTTCCAGGGAATCCACGATCTCCCTAAAAAAAAAAACAAAGATGAAATTGAAGAAACTTTGAAATTAGCTTAAAAAGCGTGAAGAAAAGGATGAGTTACTTACAGCAATGCCCTTAGGACCCGGAAAACCTCCAAATCCTGTGTCACCCTTCTCTCCAGGAGGACCTTGAGGACCTAGTGGACCAGGTCTTCCTACTTCACCTCGTGCTCCTTTGTCACCTTTTTGCGCTTTGATCATACTCCGAGTAATTGTCGCCGGCGTTCCAGGTTCTCCTTGAGGACCAGCTGCACCAGGAATACCATCTTTTCCCTGTTAATTAGAGAAGTAGAGTTTAACGAAGATACTTCGTCACATTGAACGAGCTTCTAATTATCTAACGATATATTTGTAAAATACAATTTTTAAATATACCGTGCCCAATATCATTTCAAATTGAAAAAGACTAGAAATGTGGAACAAACGTTCGTTCAAGTTTGTGAATAGTTTGAAAAATATCTGGTACAGTTTCAGTTACGAAGGAATAATATTTTTTCAAGATACCGGTAATCCTGGTGGTCCAATTGGGCCAGGTAATCCATCGGAACCAGATTCACCGGGGAATCCTCGTTCTCCTTGCGGACCTCGGGCTCCAGGATGTCCAGGAGTACCATCGTAACCACGATCTCCTTTTTCTCCTTGTGATCCTGGCACACAATCTTGGCAACGTCCACCCACCTCTCCTTTCTCACCGGGTGCTCCCGGATATCCAGGCGTACCGTCTTTTCCCGAAGTTCCTGGTTCTCCAGGTAAACCAGACTCACCTGGAAGACCTGGGATACCGTCCAAAGAATCTCCTGGAAATCCACGCGGACCTCCGTAACCACGTTCTCCCTTTTGTCCTTTCTCGCCATCTATACCCGGTGAGCCATCCATTCCTTTCGCACCCTAAATCGACAAGCGTGTAATAACATTCGAAGATCAACATTCGTTCCATGTGGTTACCTATTATTTTTCCAATTAATACTCACCATAATCGATAATCCTGTTTCTCCTGCGAAGCCTCGTGGACCTGTTGGACCAGGCGGACCATCGAATCCACGGGGTCCTGTTGGTCCAGGGAATCCTGTGATTCCAGGCTCTCCTTTTCCACCTTTCTCGCCAGGTAGACCTTCGGGACCAGGGATTCCCTGAGAACCAGGGCCTCCTGACGGACCGATAGGACCTCTTGGACCTGGATTTCCTGGAAATCCATCAGAACCGCGGTTTCCAGGAGGACCCGGGTAGCCTGGAGGTCCTTTCGGTCCTGGTGGACCTGGTGTGCCTTTGTCACCCTAAATACGCAATTTATCATTGTGAACAAGCGTTGCCAAACAAAATATACAGCGTAATATTCGAAAAAGTTATCGATACTCACTCCTGGTGGACCTGGAGGTCCTCGTAATCCCGGAGCTCCCATAGATCCATCTCGACCTGCATCTCCTTTCAGTCCAGGTCGACCAGGGAGACCATCTAATCCGTCGTAACCTCGATCACCTTTACGTCCTGGTGGTCCTGGAGGACCAGAGAAACCATCCCTACCCTGGTTACGGTAAAAGTTTACGTCAGTTTAAGTCGTTCTACGGGTTTACTTTTCTACCAAACGAGATAAGTTTAAAAGAAACTTACACGAATACCCGGAGGACCTATCAAACCCTTTTCTCCTTTGGGACCTGGATTGCCAGGTGTACCGTGATCTCCCATTGGACCTGCTGCACCTTTTTCACCCTCTGGTCCCATTGGACCCTGACGTTGCAAATCGATAAGATAGAAATAAGAAATGACTCGAATCTTAATCAATTGTACTCGACGTTTTATAAAATACCTGTTCCCCTGTCTCGCCAGGTTCTCCCGTAACTGTTTTCGGGACGCCTACAAAAGGTACCAAAGGACCATTTGTTCCAGGAGGTCCCGGGTCTCCCTTTTTACCTTTGTCACCCTTCAGACCTTCAAATCCAAGACCCATGTTTCCCTTCTCTCCTTTTGGTCCCGGTGTTCCGTGCACACCCTGGATAACAATTTAACATTAAACATCAATATCCCATAGATTAAATGTTACAAATAAACAGAAGAAAAACTAGTGTAGATAATTACTTACATACGGACCAGGTTCACCCTTTACTCCAGGAAGGCCGCGATCTCCTTGAGGTCCTGGTGGTCCTGGAGGTCCCCTCACACCGTCGATACCCGGTTCTCCTTTTTGACCGACAGAGAACGGACCAACGAAGGCCGATTGACCTTTGTCTCCCTTGGAACCAGGAACACCCCGAAAACCACGAGGCCCTATTTCTCCAGGGTAGCCAGGAAGACCGGGTGCACCCTAAAAGATAAAGTGGCAAGCAATTTAATATGTTTCATTAGTTGTGACAATATGGACCATCTTTGATATTCGGATTGTTCGAGATTTCAGGCTTTCACAGCTCGGTATTACACAATCGTTACCGTTGCTTCCGGAGGTAAGCTGTGTTCTTACGGAAGAAATGCCCCGACGTTTCGTAAGCACTGCAGATCACTTCGTTAGAGTTCGAATGACACACCGATACCGATCCGTGTGACATTCGAACTCTGATGAAGCAAGCTGCACTGAGGAATGTGAACATTTCTTCCATAAAGACACGGCTCTGTAGCAACGATTACGACTATTGTAGTACGTAGAAAAAGTGTTTGATTTGACATGATTCAAGTGTCGATAGTGTAGGAACGCTAGATTAGAGGAATGATTGTCTGAGTGTGTGGACTGGAAAGATAGAACTACGAATGAAGAGTGCATCGCGTGTGAAAAGTTCGGTGGACACGACCGAACGAGTTTCGAGAATGTCCGCGGAAAGTGAAAAAACTAGAGTAAGAGAGAACGAGTGAACGAAAGGATAAAGCAGGGTGAATTGTGGCATTGAGAGTCGAAATATCAGAGATCGCGAATTACAGATTATCGAGAGTCGAGTAGAGTTGAGTGTTAGTCTTGGATTATCTTAGTTAATAAACTAATTCCTACTATAGTGTTACGTACATCTGTTCCGTTACAACCGTCACGACCAGGAAAACCAGAAGGTCCAGGCGGTCCTTGAACTCCAGGAACACCGTTCACACCGTGGTATCCTGGCATACCCATTTTGCCCTAGGGAAAATAGCATAATTAGAAGTAGCCACGAACAACAATTAATATATATATATATCGATCTGTAAACTGGTACGTACTCTATCACCTTTCGGTCCGTGTGGTCCCTGAAGACCGGGATCACCTTTCTCTCCCTTTGGTCCCAACAAACCTTCCGTTCCTGGAAATCCTCTCTGACCCTTGGGACCCTGTGGCCCTATTGTACCCGGTGGACCCTGTACGCATATATTGAAATAGAGAGATTGTCGACGATTACGCAATTTGTGCAACGACATTTTTTATCCCTCGGACAGCAGATGGCGCGATAGTCTCACGCACGACGGAGACCGGGTCAAATGTGACCCGGCGCTAAAATCTTTTTCGTACGTAAGCGAAATCGGAACTTTTTATCATTTTACCAGGCGTTCTATTGTTTATACGGTATTGTACAAAATTATGTTATGATTGAAATAACACACATATTGTCGTGATTCTGTAAACGTTCTCTAAAACGTGAATATTGAATATATGTGTAATTGTTTAATTTGATTCGTTTTCATTTCCCAGATGTAGCTATTCATCAAACGTATCACAGAGGAAACAGCTATTAGCCGACAGTGTGTTACTTTATAAATGAACTGAAATGAATTTTGCTGCATTTTATCGAAATCTGTGTTGAATCGTTCTTGTTTTCGAAGCAGACACGTAATGAACGTATTGAAACGTATGAAATTGTAATTGCAACAAACAGAAATAATCGTAATATTTTAAGCAACGCTGCACCTCAACGTAATTGGTTTCTCTTTATACCGTTCAATTTAGAGTTCGTGCAATTACACATGAACTACAATCAGTAGCTATTAGGTTGGTGCAAACGTGATGTGGCTTTTTCAACAGCTGAAATTCGCGGATCGATACGATATGTTAACGAAAGAACGCGCTATAATTTTACGTAGAATAATTATAAAGAACGCGTTAAACTCGACTGCGCCAAAAGAATTGTATACAAACTGCAGTTAATTATCTGCAAAACATACTCACCCTGGAACCTTTCTCTGCGAAACATTTCGGCACGCAGCAGGCAGAACCGTTGCATTTTGCTGGTGGAATTAATCCTGGAACTGGCACGACCGAGTAGCTACTTGGATAATTTTCCGAGCCTCCATCCGCGCCGTATCCTCCTTGACCCTGCGAGCGTCCTGTCTGACCAGTCGATCCACGGCTGTAAGGATCAACGCGGCCATAAAGGTCTCCGGATCCGCGATTTTCTCCATAGCCATCGCCATAAGGATCTCTAGAGTCTTGTCCTCCTCTTCCTACTACTCCTGCCCCTTCTCCTCTTGATGCTCCTCCTCCAGTTCTTCCATAAGTGTCCTCGTAACCTGGAGATCTTCCGTAAGGATCAACGGCTCCTTGATTGTTAGGATCTAGAGATCCTTGACCTTGTCGTTGGCTATAGGTTCCTCGATCTCCGCCGTCTGGAGAAAAGAAGATTATTCGTTAAATGGATCGGAAAGATGGACAGTGGAATTGCAGGTGCGACGGTCTGATTGTTGCAAATGGGTTTGAAGTAATATTAGAATCCTGGGAATAAACAATGGATGCGTATTACTCTAGCATGCGTTTCTTTCTTTCAAACTTTGGAGAATTATTGTGTCAGTTTTTGTGTCGATTTTTGTGGGAGTTTCTTTTTATGCACGAATTGATTACAAACTTTGGAGGATTATTGTGTCGATTTTTATGGGAGTTTCTTTTGATGCACGAATTGATTACAAACGTTGGAGGATCATTGTGTCGATTTTTATGGGAGTTTCTTTTGATGCACGAATTGATTACAAACGTTGGAGGATCATTGTGTCGATTTTTATGGGAGTTTCTTTTGATGCACGAATTGATTACAAACGTTGGAGGATCATTGTGTCGATTTTTATGGGAGTTTCTTTTGATGCACGAATTGATTACAAACGTTGGAGGATCATTGTGTCGATTTTTATGGGAGTTTCTTTTGATGCACGAATTGATTACAAACGTTGGAGGATCATTGTGTCGATTTTTATGGGAGTTTCTTTTGATGCACGAATTGATTACAAACGTTGGAGGATCATTGTGTCGATTTTTATGGGAGTTTCTTTTGATGCACGAATTGATTACAAACTTTGGAGGATTATTGTGTCGATTTTTGTGGGAGTTTCTTTTTATGCACGAATTGACTGCAAACGTTGTAGAATTTTTGTGGGAGTTTCTTTCTATGCACGAATTGATTGCAAACGTTGGAGGATTATTGTGTAAATTTTTGTGTCGATTCTAGTCGTATGAGCGTAATGCTACAGCAGAGTATTTTTTAAATTTAGTATTTCTTCTATGCATAAATTGACACACTTGTGATGATTTTTTTCTTTCGTCTACGAATTCCTTGAAAACATTTGAGATGTGATCTCTTTTTTTTAGGACTGTTCTGTACATTTCTGTCTCGATTTTAGTCTGATAACGATAATGTTGCAAATTTTTAGTTAATTTAGTACTTTTTTAGTGGAAGATATGAGAAATGTCGAACACGGTGAGCTTGTATTTACGAAAACAACGCGTTACCGCGGTTTCGTAAGAAACCTTGATGATCGAAGGAAGCGTATATTTGAAAACAAAGTTAAACATCCCGCGTTGTGTATGTGAAACGGGTTCTACGATTTTATGTAAATTCGTAAGTTATTCTTTCGTTCGGTTTGTCCGGCTGAATTGCAAATCTGAACTGTGGACCTTTCCACTGATGATTCATTCGCGAGTAAATATAATACAGGAAGACTTTTGTAACAGCGAATTAAAAATTTTTATTTCATTTCCACCGAAGAATATTAGCTGTGCTTTAAGTAGTATCGATGAAAACTGTGAAATTAAATTTCTCACCGAGGTAAAATTTCGTAACAAACACGAGACAGACGGTAGAGAATAAAAATAAGGAAATTGTAGCGGCTGATCGAGAACGGGAAGAGATTGAAAAGCGACGAAAGGGAATAAACGAAAGTTGAAGAAACGAATCCAGAAAATATTTAATGTTACGATTGAAAGGTAGAGAAAAATCCGTCGATCGTTACAGTTCTACTATAAAAAATTAATAAATTATCAACAGAAAAGCACGATGTAAGGCGCTTGTTTCATTCTTTTATCGAGTTAATCGTTTTGCAGCATAGTCGCGCACAAAGTTTTAAAACCTTTTCAAAATTCCATTTTCCACTAGCCCGTTAAATTTTATAGAACACCATAAACTTGCGCGCGCGCATAACCGCTGGTGTTATCGATTAATAGGAAACTATTACACAACGCCGCAAAGGCAGAAGATAAACGATCTCATTAATTAACAGATTGAAGTTGAATCCGTAAATCTGAGAATATTACCGTAAAAATCATTGCAACAGGAAGAGAGACGAACGATCTTGATCAATTTCACAATGTCTCGATCGATGTGGAAAAAGAGTGGAATAGATCATTTGACGAAACGCGCGTTTGTATAATTATAATTGCATATCGTCGAAGATCGCGGTAAATTATTTGTTCACGCAAGCAATAATACGCGAAATAAGTATGGTTAATATGATCTATATTAGACATAGTTGTTTTGAAATTTCTCTTTGGTGAGATATCGTTGTAGAAAGTTTCAGTAAAAATGCATTGTATCCTATGACGTCGAAGAAATTTCCAATATACTGAAAAAACTATTATTAAACTTTATGCTAGAACGTTGAACGTGAAAGCGCTACTTAACATGATAAGCAGTTGGCGATTTTACTGTACAGGAAAATAAATGACCTTGTTTATCAAGGTTGTCGTTTTGTCAACAACTGTGCTCGATATAAATTTATTACCATAGCCACTTTGATATCCTCCGGTACCATCAGTTCTATGACCGTATTCACCGCCATCGGGGTATCTGTTGTACCCATCATCGTAATTTCGACCGACGTCATAAGGATCTACGTTCCGCCTGTCTGCTTCCTCGGAACCTGAAGATCAGAGTGAAAATTCAATTAATATTACACAAAAAACCACTTAATAGAAGATAGAGGGAAAAAAGAAGAACGTAATTTTAAAAAATTGCAGAAAGTAAATAGAAAGAAAGACGAAGGGATCGATTGATCGCCTTGTGAACATAATATTTAGAAAATAATCGATGTGTTAATAGAGACAGAGTAATATAAAAATATGAAGAAAATAATAGTTAAGAAGTAATTTAAACATAGTATAAATAAATGATATTTAAGAAATAATTTAAACATTGTCGGAGAAGGTAAATTTTATTATTATACAGTTGCAATGAAAGCTACTCGTGTTCTCGGTAAATTTCTTATACCGACAATCTTTTGATTCATCATTACGTGAAAAAATATATATTATAGTATATAGAAGTAAAGTATTATCCAATTAAACTTAGCGTCAAATGGTTTAGCGAAATGTTTCGCGTTCTATAGGGAGGAAAATGCAGAAGAGGTAAATCTCGTGCTTACCTTCGCTGCTTGGAAAGATACCTCTCCATCGTGGGGAAATATTATAATCGTCATCTGTACTATTTGGTTTCCCGATATCACCTCGTCCGAGTGGAACAACCGGTGATGGATTGCTCGACCATGATGTGTGATTGTATTGCTGAAATGAAAGGAAATTATTTAAATACTTGCTTTTAATATAAAAATGTTTCATTTTACAATTGTCTTCGTATCTTGCATTCTAATTAGAACAAAATTACTATTTTATAGTACACAATATTTGTAAGAACAGTTTTTTTTTTCCCATAAATATGTTGCTACAGTCTTGAATAAATTTTACGGTTTCACTGATTAAACAACGAATTCCGTTTTAATCGAGTTGTGTGAAAATTTTAATTTGTAAAGATTTCGTAATACAATTAACAAGTGGTTAACTACTTATTCAGCGATCGATACAATACTGCGCATGAAAGTTATCGACTGAGATCTACGTAGATCTGGCAGACACGTGAGGGATCTATAAACTGTTTTACCGACGGGATACATCGATAACTAAATGGAACGCCGTAAGTTGTTCAGCCTAACGTAAGTGACATTATCGAAAACTGGATTACGTTCGAAATTAAATCTAATTAACGAAATTGCGTAATGTAAATCGTGTTTATAATGTTCACGAAATGCACACATACTGAATAAATGTACAGCGGGTATATTAAATTTAGCAGTTTAAACTTTATTCAGTAAGCGTTAACATTTCTAAAAAGAAAGAAGAGTCTGTAGTGCTTGAAAGCGAAGTACCATTGTTATTGTATTAGAATAACTTGTCAATTAAACATTAAGAAAAGTAGAAATAATCGTTTCTTTACAATGAAACAGAAATAAAAATTACAAGGCGATTAAAAGTAACGTGAAACACTGTTAAACGTGAGAAATGATGCTTTAAATATAATAGAAATATATTTTAAACAAAAATTTTCCCTAAAACTTAATAACGTAAAGTGCGAATAAAAAAGGCACGGAAAGAAATAATTCGGAAAATTTAGATTTAGCGTAACTTAATGATCAATATGAATGCTACGAAAGCTGCGTTAAGCGTTCACGTTGGAACGAAAAGGCATACCTAAGCATACGTATCATATACTTAGGTATACAGATTAAAAGTATTTTCAAGCAGATCCTCTTACTCTTGCATACTTGTAAGCTTGCACCAACTGTCGATAAGTTATCAACTATAGTACTTGTATGACAGAACATGTCCCATCTTTAAACCGCGAAATTTTGATATTTCAATCTTTACATGCACATATGTTATGCAATTCATCTACAACGCGTAGAATTTAATTATTTATTATTTACAGTATCTATTAAGACAAACTTACCGAAAATTAAGATTCCGAGAAGGAAAATGAAAATTTCAAAGTTATCTACCAATATGATTCAACTATCAACGCTCTATTAAATATTTCTAACACAGTATTAAGAATTTAATGAAAATACAATCATGAATACCATAAAACAATAATTTTGAAAGAAATGAGAAATCAAACTTATCAAATACACCTAAAATGTGTGAAATTTTTTTTTTTTTGATAAATCCTTAAACATTACACTTTCATGAAATTGCAAAAATTAATTGAAAATCCTGCACATTGCATCTTATAATTGTTCCAAAGAACCTCGCATCACTATTGCCACGTCGATTCTTCACTTCTTCACCAGAGTGTGTTCGAATTTCAAAAATCATATACAAAATGCACAAAGCTGAAATGTCGAACATTGATCGAACAATCTATCCGAAACTTCTTCCACAATGGACCAATTGCTACCTCGATCTGTTTAGCCCTGTTCCACGTCCGGCGACCACAATATTCAGATCAGCTCGATTCAGTCTATGCGTCATCGCGTTCGCAGAAAGTCATTGTCTTGCCCTCATTTTCACATTTTATCCTTTTTACGTTTCTGGATGGCACGCACTGGCAGGAAGCGCGAACAGATAACGTTCGTTCGTTATCGTTTCGAAATGACGTGCCACACTCTGTTTCTCTTTCGTACCATCTCTGGCCAGTCTCTCCTGCACGTGTTAACGGACTTTTCTCTCGAAAAAGCTGAATGAAAGCACAGAACAGATAATCGTTTTACGCCAATGCTGTGCTTACTTCTTGGGAAATTTTCCAGAAGAAAAAGTGGGAAGATTCGAGGGGATATTCCAAGGCGAAAGAATGTTCGGAACAAAGTTTCTTATCCTTGCAAGGATACTTGATAACTCGAAGCGATAAAATCTCCGATTTAAATGAATTCTTCACTCTTTCTGCTAATTTTACAGGATTACTTCTACCTGAATTATTTCTATAGCAACCGTGGAACATTAACGTGAAGAATAATAGTGCTCCAGGAGATTTTTTTCACACTACATTGTGATCTTTGAAAATTTTTATAATTTTAATAAAAAAATTTTATTTCTTCCACGTGGGACGCTGTTAATGTCTCAAAAGATTAGTGTTAATATTCCAGGGTTGATCTAATGTGATATCAAAAATCACAGCATTTTGTGATTCGTTTCACGGAGGTAGATAATTAAACCGAGTTCAAATAAATCGAATTGAAAGTAGTTATTACGCGAGAATTGTTCTCAACGTTTGATTGATCCTTCATTGTAGAAGGTAAAGTAGTAATTAATATTCTCGTTAAATACTGTTCGTAAGTCGTTTGCCGACTCGGTGTGATTTATTTGCTGGCGGATCGTTTACTTTTAATGTAACATCGAGATGTTAAGCTTCAATTATCTTATTATGGTTATTGATAGTCAAGCTTACAATAATCGATCATTATACTCGATATTAATGCGACGCGTTTTCGACTGTTCGTACCTATTATCGAATTCTCAAAAGTAACTGATAATACGGTAATTCGTTGCGACCTCGCCACGAGTTAAACGCGAAACAGATTTACTGATGTCACTGCTGAAAATGTAAACGAGATTACATTACCTTAATTTCACTGAGGGAAGATCTTTGTACGAATGTTCGGCGAATTTGCGACATTGTTTCGTGAAGTAAGTTTGAGTCACGTCGAATACACTTGGTCGCACGATTTTATTGTACGTACTCCTGTTCATTTCCGTGACAAATTCAGTGACGTACGAATTACAAAGCGTCGTGACAGTCTTTAATCCTTATTTTACTAAGATTAAGTGTACACATCGTCGTAATAATTTCTACAGTGATAGAAAGAGCTTAGAATTTAATAAGTAGGATTTATGTATCCATAAAAATTGTAGTCGAAATATAAAATTACAGGTATTGTTGAAAAAATGTCTAAATAATGAATCAAAAATGTCACGTTAAATTGTTCCATTTTATTCGAAATTATTCTATATAATTATTCTAAATCTTTAATATTGCAAATGTTCTAAATAGTAGTAAATTACATTCTTGAAAGATTAATGAGCTTTTTAGTATTTAAAGTCACGAACATGAAACGATACTAAATCCATCAAAGTTTATTGAATCGATGCTAATTAGAACAACCGGTTGTCATAAATATTGAACATCACAATGTAGCAGACTTGGTGCGACTAAAATTAATCATGCATTATTCTATTTATCCGCAGTTATTATGCTCAAGTACTCCCTGCAAGTAACTAAACTTTCGACAGAATTTAAAAGTCAAATTACTTCAATTTTCAAGTTGCTATTTTATTCAATTTGAAACAACTGTTTCCATCATTCGTTCTTGAAACACGCTTCCTGAATCCGTTTAAACACGGTCTATTATTCTTATTTATTAAAACGTAATAGTGTACAATAAAATTTGTGCAAAAATGAGAAAGAAGTATATGAAACTATTCATACTATGGAAAGTTCAATACATTTTCCTCTATTCTTCCACTCAAATTGTTGTTAAATGCAAATCTCGTAATATCGAATCCTTGAAACTATATAGTAAAAGCAACAGTAAACAAAATCCTCATATTCTTCAACATAAGAATTCAAACTGATTATTAGAAGTACCATTTTTCTTCTTCCATTAGAACGTCTTAATTGATGCAATAAAAGAGTGTCCTCAATCAACTGAATTTTTTTATTCCTGTCATGAAGATTACACTTTGCTAATTATTCAGAAATAATTTTCCTTATTGCATGCCTATCGATTCCCAAAAAGCAATGAAAATATTTCAAGATGTATCCAATTCTTGTAGTTCAAGAAGAAATGAATTTCAAAGAATTTCAGCACTTTTTAACAAATTGGCCAACAAATTACTAAACGATACCAAGGTAGTGAGAAGCTTAAAACGTTTCAAGCCCACGGACTTATCGACAAGATTCACCATAGACCAAACTATCAGTAATAACTAAATCTGCAAATTCGACAACTTAAAGATTCGCCAAATATTCGTCAATAAGTGAACAAAATTACCACGGACACCTTTAGAATCTGGACGATATCGTTTTTCACATTTAACCTCCAGGCTTCAATAATTAATAAACACGAAAAGATCGACACTATTTCGTTTCTTCCAGAAGTCATTGAACAATATTGAAGATATGGGATGAATTTTTAAGACACCCTGCTGTAACTAAATCTGAATTACTCGGTTAATTAAACAGATCAAGATCGTTCAGCGAAACATTCTCCACGTGTAATTCAATTCATCGCCATAATCTTCGCTCGTCGTTCATTCTCAACAGATTGCGCACACTTTGCTCGATTAAAAGCGAAGAAAAAAAGAAGAAATATCCTACATAAGCTGCGTCTCAAAAATGACTAGAAATGTTTCAAGAGACACTATAACAGGCACAGTCCTCATTTCCTCAATTCACAGAACCGTTCAAACAAATTATCATCAATGCATCTCGAAAACGGCTCGGTCCACGCGCGAGCCGCGACCATTTCGTTCAACGAAGCCAGCCCAATTTTCTTATTCTAGATACGGCGACTATCTTCTCGTGATGGTTCAAGAATCGTCCCTTTTATCGCGTTTCTTCTGACCGCTTTCGTGAATCCGCGATTACACAACCGTACAGCAGAGCGTTTCAAATTTAACACCGAACGATCCTTCCTTCCGTTCATCTCTCCTCGTCCTATATTTTAACCTTATTCATCGTCTTACCGCTCTTTTCTTTTCTTTTATTCCCCTACGTCTCGCTGACACGTTCGAAC